AAAATAGTTTTCAATGCAGAATATCACAGTTTAAAACCTATGCTCCTAACTTGAATGAAAAAATACTCAAACATATATGCCAGCAAAACTTTAAAAATAAATAAATAAATACAATTTTAAAACACCTCATAAGTAAAGACCTAGAACAGGAACAAGAGAAACTCTGACACAGAAACAGTAAAAGTGGTAAGATGGAAAACACAAGAAATTCCTTTGATTTCCCAACTCTGAAATTCTTTCTTTTTTATTAATTTTTTCATTTATATATGACAACAGAATGCATTACAATTCTTATTACACATATGGAGCGCAATTTTTCATATCTCTGGTTGTATACAAAGTATATTCAACCTATTCATGTCTCTATACATGTACTTTGGATGATAATGTCCATCACATTCCACCATCATTTCTAAACCCATGCCCCCTCCTTTCCCTTCCCACTCCTTTGCCCTATCTAGAGTTCATCTATTCCTCTCATGCTCCTCCTTCCTACCCCATTATGAATCAGCCTCCTTATATCAGAGAAAACATCCAGCATTTGGTTTTTTGGTATTGGCTAACTTCGCTTAGCATTACCTTCTCTAACTCCATCCATTTACCTGCAAATGCCATGATTTTATTCTCTTTTATTGTTGAGTAATATTCCATTGTGTATATATGCCACATTTTCTTTATTCATTCATCTACTCACAGGCATCTAGGTTGGTTCCACAGTTTAACTATTGTGAATTGTGCTGCTACAAACATTGATGGGCTATGTCCCTGTAGTATGTTGTTTTCAAGTCCTTTGGGTATAGACCGAGGTTCATTTCAAATAGCAAACATCTAATTTTCTTGTTTATTTTGCCATTCACCTGCATCAAATTGTTCTGTTTAATTCTGTGGAAAATAATAGTTATATAATAATAAAATGTTAATTATTCTTATTTTAGAATCAGCCTATAGACAGAATATAAAGGATGTAATTAAAGTACTGAAATACAAAACAGATGTAGATGCTACAAATAATGTATAATAATAAAAATAGTAAATAATATATAATAATAAAAATAGTAAATAATGTATAATAATAAGAATAAAATCTGAGAAGCTTTCCAGCAGAGTTCCATATGGCCAGTCCGCTATCCCAAAACCCCACTATTAGGTAATATGTTAAGTTTAGATGTGGAAGGCATTGGCTGAAATGTGCAGTGATGTGGAAGAGCAATATAAAATTGATATTTAACCCTTTGCTACAGGGTTAAGGATTTAGCATAAATTGGTCAATCAGATTAGTGTGTGATAAGGTTGCACAAAGTTAATTGGGGCACTGGTTTAAAGGCCAGTGGGACAGTAAAAGGGAGGACTAGAAAGAACACCCCATTTGGAACCAACAAGATACCATAGAATCATTTAACATCTAAGAGAAAAAAGGGAAGAAGTTATCTGTTTTCACACTATTCCTTTGGGTCAGCCCTGACTGTAAACCTTGATGAAGCTAAGCCTCTATTTGAGGTTTAAACATCACATTTCAGGCTATTTCACAAAAACATGTCATTGATGTGCTACACAGACCTCTAATATAAAGCTTTATCCAATCATCCTCAGAAAGTAGGGCAAAAGTAATCAGTCTATTTAGGAACAGCAGGATCCATAGAGACCAGAGGCAGGAATGTTTTGTAAATATCAAAGCTGACCTAAAAACACATTTAACAATGAATCTTTCATAAGAATAATGACTATCAGAGGTACCACATGAGGTATTGAAATACTATTCACCCAATGTCAGATAATTGCTATAAATGCCTTAAAGAATCAAAATATTTACTGGCCTGTTAGTATGTTGGTTTTAGTATAATTGTGTAAGGTCATTTGCATAGACTTCTTTATAGTTTATAGCCTTTATTCTTTCAAAATTTATTTCAGCTCATATGTAGCTCACAATACCATATGTGTGTACAAACAGCTAGATCCATATGAGGCCACTCAGCACAGAAAGAAAACAGGTATAAACAAAAAACAAGAGTGCTAATGTAAATAACATGGGCTCTCTCGAATGAGAAAATGTATTAGTAAATGGACTGAAATGTTCATCATCCATATTTAACCTAATGCATCAGAAAAAGTTAAGTGCTAAGAAAATTTGATTTTGCAATCTTAGCAAAAACTATGCATTGACTTAATGCATGAGGAAAGAAACAGAAGAACCTTGCTACCAAATGCAAACAAAAAGGAGAATTCCCCCCAAGCCATCAACAAGTTGACAAGCCAGGATGAGTCAGATGGCTGACTCAACCATCTTAGCCACAATCCAATTCTCCTCAGGCTTCCTGTGGGCCTGTGATGACATCCTTCCAGTCCCTCACAGGTGCCCCTGGGGTTCATCATGAGCCTGCTTTCTTTTCTCCCTCAACTTGCTCATCTTAAAATCCGAATTCTTATAGTATAAATCTGTAAGAGAATAGAATATCTGATTGGCTGACCCAATCAATAATACACAACTCAAGGCGAGAACAACTTTTATTCCTCCATTGTTTCTATTTCCTTTGATTTTTTCATTTTGAACACAAACAGAACATTTTTTTTTATTAGCCCATCCTCTGTACAAAAAGAATGACAAAGAGTTTTTTAATTTGCCACTATTGGACTAATATGTGCCCAAGTGTCTCTGACTCTTTCCTTCAACAATATCTCCCTGAATAGGGTCTGAATTTGTGGGTTATCTTTATTGGATAATTCACCACTCACCAATGCCAGTATTTCATGAGAATACGAGAGGCCTACTAATCACAGATCTAGAGCATTCATTAAATTATTCTGAAACATGACAAGCACCCCTCTATAACATAAAATAAGGGACAGTGCATATATCCAGGCCTGCTTACTTAGTGGTAATATGGATTTTAGTGTGCACTTGTCACCCACTTTAGGTTCTCGTTATTGTCCCGCTTGCCCTAATTCAGTGATGTATCATTTTCCTGCATTTGTCTAAATCAGTTCAGCAGCAGATAAATCAAAGCTTTTCTTGCCCTTGCCCTTCCAAGCTGTTCAAATCATCCATCTGACCATGGGAAAAAAGGGTGTAATCACTTGCTCAGGAGAAGAAAATATCTGCATAAACTCCATGGCAAACCATTTCTGCATCAATGTGTGCAAAAACACACGCCCACGCTTTCACTTACGCATACATGCTGACCAAATGCACCTTGGAGCAGATTCTGAAGGGACAACATCAAAGTCACAAGACATTGCTCATTTTTTCTATTAGAAAAAAAGCCAGTTTCAATTCTCTTCTTTTAAGAAAAGAGATATATATTCTCTCTAAAAAGAAGAGAGTGTATATCCAACATTTCAAAAGCCATATAAGATCCTATTTTTATATCCTTGTGAGCTGTAGGAGCTGAAAATTAATTGCTTCTTTAACTGGCAAATCCTCTGTCAGACAATGTGCCCCAGCATTCAGAGTCCTAACACATTTTTCTCTTTGAGGGAGAATCGTACACCAGGAAAGACCTCCTGGGTGGACCTAAAGAATACAGCACCCCCTCATGCCCCTTTCATTCCCTTTTTTTCAACCCACACACTTTTTGATATTTTATTTTACTTTTTTTTTGTATTTAGAGATTTTATCTCTTCTTATAGGAAGCATATTATTGGAAAAGAAAAAAAATGGAAAGCTCAAGGGATGTGACTGTGACAGGGAGAGAAAAGAGCACTTGGAGTTTCCACTGCAGCCTTCAGCTGCCCTTCGGGAGGTTGCACTAAGAAACAGAGGTATATGGTCCTTTTCCAACAACTCTCTCAGGACAGGGGCTGTGTCAGCCCTTCATTCTGCATAGAATTTGCCCTGTTGCCCTTACTTGCTAGTGTGTCCTTCACATTCTGCAGAAAAGCATGCAAAACTCCTTTTTCTTTTTTCTTCCAGAAATTAATAAAGTAAATGGATGGAGGTCTTCCCATGTTCTGAAGAGGTTAAAACCTAATACACAACTCAAGGTGGGAACAACAAATTCATTCTCAAAAATGAATTTTCTGTGGGGATGTGGCTCAAGCGGTAACCCGCTTGTCTGGCATGCGTGCGGCCCAGGTTCGATCCTCAGCACCACATAAAAATAAAGATGTTGTGTCCACCGAAACTAAAAAATAAATATTAAAAAAATTCTCTCTCTCTCTCTCTCTCTCTCTCTCTCTCTCTCTCTCTCTCTCTCAAAAAAAAAAAAAAATAAAGAATGAATTTTCTGTGGGCCTAGTACTGAATCCAAGTTGTGCTATGTAAACTTTCTAGTAGGACTTTGATCTTTCTCTGGAGGCAAAAATGAACAGAACATGGTTGTACATTCAAGTATTTCCATCTATAATTTTATTTAAAATAACACTTCTTTTTCCCACCCTGCCCACTCTTTAAATTTTCAAGACAATTACTCTTTATTTCAGCTATGAACTCAGCTTTTTAAAAATTATTTTTATTAGTTACTGATGGACCTTTATTTATTTATTTGCTTATATGTGGTACTGAGAATCAAACCCAGTGCCTCAAACATGCTAGGCAAGTGCTCTACCACTGAGCCACAACCCCAGCCCTGAACTCAACTTCTTGAAGTGAGTTGATAAAAGCGATGTTATACAATTTCTCTAATAACATCTTCACACAATGTATCTGTGCTGGGCACACAAACATGTGCACAAACACAAGCACCCCTACCCTGGTTTTGGAAGGCCTTCTTGATTCTGTATGGTTTCATCAATATTTTTCAGATCATTGCCTCTGAGTTATTCCCTTCAGATGCTAACTGTGTCTTCTCTCTTTTTAGTCTAATAAATTGTGTCCTCATATTTTACCAGCCATCATTCAGAGTAGACAAACCCTAGGTGATCCTAGAGGTTCACTTCTTCCTTGGATTTGGTAGCTTAGAAAAAAGTTGACTTAACAGATCTGAGTGAATGCAAGAAGAATAGAAGAACAAATCACTAGGATTCACTGGGCTGCAGAGGTTTTCTCTTTCAGGAAAGCCACTTACCTGCTCAGGGAGCCTGTGAGGTTCATACATGTAGCCTGATCCTCCGGTGCCCATCATGTGCACAGCATCACAGGTCCAGGGTTCCTCTTGTGGAACACTGACCATGGTGTATGGCAGTGTATCCATGCTCAGCATAAGCCATGGGATGGCAAGGTTTTAAGGAATTATGTGTAATTCTCTGCTTGTGCATTTTTCCTCAATAAAATTGATTATATCTTCATCACCAGTGATTCTGGTGATGTACTTCCTATTCCTTCTTGCACAAATATTCCAATCTTTAGTTGGTGCCTCTGTAGTTGACTCCTCATGAAGCATTCCTCATGGTCTAGAGCAATGGTTTATAAGCCACATTGCAAATATTTGTCAGGCAAACATATTAATAATATTAATACACATGTCACATGATGACCTTGTTTCTGCTTTGAATCATTTTATGGTGACATCCCTCAGAAGGAAATCAAGGCAAGCCCTGTTTTTATAAGAGTAGGGTGATTTTGAACACAAGACTAAATAAATGAACAGTATAGGTTTTGTTCTGCCATCATTGTGCACAGATTAAGAATATTTATTTTTGGCTATAAAGATTTTACCCTTGATCTTCCTGTCCTAGTTGACTTGTTCTCTTGACTTAAGATAAGCATATGTGTGTTAGAGGTAGGGTGGGAAGATAAGAATATGCGGGTAATGATTCTAACATTCTTTAAATTTGTCAAAGCAATTATTTATACTCACCAGTTATTACCTGCTGGATCTAAAAATGAATACTCATCCCAGAATATTTCAAATAATCAGGCAGAACAGAAAGACACCAAGTTATTATGCATTCTCCTTTACACCGTAACCCCAATTAAAAATGGTAGCTAGAAGTGTCAAACATAGACATAAAAATTAAGTAATGGTCTGTGATTTTTAAAAAAAAAGAGTTTAAATGAAGATATCAGCAACTCACCAAATATTTTATATACTAAAGGGAATTTAAGGAAATGGAGTTCCTTATTCTTTATACGTTTCAATGAAATCTTACAGCAGCACATGTTCCACACAATTTAGTTGGAGATCTCAGAGGATTCAGAAATATAATCATGGGAAGAGTGTTGTTCCAGAATAAAGTCTCAACAAGCAGTGAAGAGAAAATAAATGGATTACAACAAGCATACTAAAAAGGAAAAATAATGTTAGATAAATTTTCCCCAAGAAAGTAGTGATAAAGGAATGGATTTTACTGTGTTTCTCTAGTCTGCTTTGTTTTTATTTCCAAATAACATGTTCAGCTCAAAAAAAGATAAAATCAAATACAATTACTTTCCAATTTATTTCAGAAGAGTTTAGTATTTTCAAGTAACAATAACAAACAATAGTATAGTTGAGGTCTTTGCATAGATTTTCTAAGAAGTTTGGGTTATAGAAATCTACAAAAAAAAAGAGAGGCATGGACAAAGGTCATGGTACATTAGTAATTCTTTGTAAGCTGCAAGCATTTCTAATGGGAAATAATTTAATTAACATAAAAGCACTGAACAATTAGTGGTCCTTATCTGGCTTAGGACCCATGAACTCAATTATTCACTAGTCATCCCATTAACTTGAGTTTAAAGTTTAAAAAATAATTTTTTAAAGAAGTCTATAGAAATAGAACAGTCAGTTGTTACAATCAGATCATCACTAGCAGAAGGCAAGTGACTCTTCAGAGAGGAATGTGATTGAACTTCAACATTTACCAAGTTTGCACATGAAGTACAAGGTTAGGCAGGACAAAGCCTCACCCCACATCTCTCCTCTGCACATTACAGATGAATTGTGGCACTGATACCTGTCAAATGATGAAGGCTCCAGTGAGGGCTAGAATAACAGGCAGAGCAGGGGTATGTTTACTTTGAGGGGTGGAGTTTTAGAAGGCAGATGCGACACGCTCAAAAAACAAACATACCACTGCTACTTCCCTGTCACCTCTTTGAAAGCCACCTGGAGCATCTTCAGGACCTCTGCTGTGAAAGCTGTGGTTGGATGTCAAGAGCAAATGGAGAGTGTCAAGGGTATAGGGTCGCACAGATAAAGGAAATATTTCTAAAATCCACTGTCAATGAAAAAATGATGTTAATGTCATCACCCTACCCTATCAGAGAGTATTGCAGGCCGCAGTAAAGATTTTGGTGTTTTCCTAAAAGCATCAGGTAGCCACTAAAAGATTTATGTAATGCAATCTATCCCACTGATGATTTATTGAGTGTGAAAAACAGTCAGACCCTTGAAAGCATGAGGTCTGTCCACAGATGCACCCCTGGAACTCTGCCATACTTGGTTATGGCCAAGAAGCCCAGGCTGCTGTCCCTTTAGGCAGCGTGACATGTGCTGCTTGTGCAAGATAACATGCCCACAATAGATGTTAGCAAATACATCCGCCTACAGAAATGGAACCAGAGGAACAGAGTCCATCTGGATGTCATTGCCACGCATGATTCAGAAAATCAGACAAAACCATGAAAATGGCCACATTTTCTGCATTCAGACGACAAAAAGACAAGTCACATCGCAGAGTATGTGGGATGCCCACAGGGATGGCTCTGACCTCACGCTGAGCCTTCCCCGACTCTGGTACCTTTTTAAATACAACCTGTACAGGGTCTTCTTATCCCCTCTTCAAACCTGCCTCCCCCATTTTACTCATGATCTGGAAACAGGACGTTTTATAAGAACCAAAAGCAGTCTTTTTGAAAAATGAAAGAATAAGGAAAACAAAATTCTTAAATCATGGGTCCTCTTTTTTCAGATTCAAACAAATTTACACTAACAAATTTGCTCATTGTTTTAGCTCATGATTTTTAATAGAATTCACATGCTTGGATTAGAAATAACAAGTACTGTTTTCATATTAGCTTAGCTAATATATATTTTCCTGAGTGTACTTCCCCTTACACTGACTTATATTTGTCTTTGAGAGTATTTTTAACTGACATGTAATAATTGCACATACTTATGGAATACAATGGTATATTTTGACACATGTATATTATATGCAATGATCAAATCAGGATAATTAGCATATCTGCCACCTCAAATATTTACCATTTCTTTGTACTGAAAAAATATAAAATAATCACTTCTAGCCATCTTGAAATACACAGAATATTATTGTTACTCTGGTGGCTCTACTGGACTTGCTATACAGTTCTAGAAGGTACTCTTCCTGTCCAAGTGTATTTGCATAATCATTAGCTCAACCCCTCTCTATCCCTCCTTCCCACTGCCCTTCCCATCTTCTGGTAACTCTACTTCCATGAGACAACTTTTTTAGCTTCCACATATGAGTGAAAACATGTGTTTTTATTGTCTTTCTGCACCTGGTTGATTTTATTTAATAAAATGTCCTCCAGATTCATCAGTGTTGCCCAAATGACAGGATTTAATTCTTGTTGATGACTAGCAATTTCCCATTGTGAAGATACACCACACTTTCTTTATCCATTCAACCATCAATAGTCACCTAGATTATTCCATTTCTTGGCTGTTGTGAGCAGTACTGCAACGAACAAGAGAGTGCAGGTGTCCCTTCCATATACGGACTTCATGTCCTTGGATTGTGTACCCAGTAGTGGAATTGCTGGATCACATGGAGGCTCTGTTTTCAGAGAACTTTTTTTTTATTAATAACTAGAAAATATTATCTTTTTAAAATACTCCTTAAAGGATGTGCTATGCATCTTTAAAATAATTACCAAAACCAAAGTAGCAGCTTAAGCACGGATGCAGAACAACAAAGGCTCTTCCTCACCAAACCTGAGTCAGAATCCTCTAAGTCCTCTTCTAGACCAGTACCAGCCTTATCTCTGTTCAACTTCAGCAAGAATTCTACTGGATCTCTTTAGCAAAAGTCTCCTATCTTCAACATATGATCAAATTCTTCATGACCCACCCTCTATATTTGATCACCCTGGCCCTCCTCCGGCAAGACTCCAGACTCAGTTTAGCCAGAAGTCTCTTTCACCCCCAGTGCTTCCTCTTAGGAAGTTTTCTCTCCACTGACCTGTTCCCTGTCTTGTCCTCATTGAATTTGGAGTTGAGATCCATCTCTCTGCCCTACTATAAAACCCCCATGGTTTTATAGTCTTTATAGTCTTACAGTAATCTTTCTTGAATAAAGTCTTTCTCACCACCTTTAACAAGTGCAATGAATAATTTTTTTTAACCTTTAACACAGGGACTCTTAAAAATTCATACAGAAATTGTAGAGAATGTTCAGAGAAAAAACTTTCATCCTCACAACCAATCAGGAATAGTCATCATAAGTACCAGGAATCTGAATGAATTTCAGTTAGATGTCATCTCTGTGATGGGAGTTGGCAAAGAAGAGTGAACACCATTGTTAGAGTTGACACTGATGGCCACCACTGCCACCAGCCAGAGCTGCAGTGAGGGCCAGAAGGGAACTTTGGCTCCACTGCCCTCTACAGCAACATCAGCCATCTAGTGAGAAACAGGCAAGAGACAGCCTTTCTCTGGAAATACTCTCTGTGTTCATGTCCTTAAAAACCTCTCAGCAATGGATCTGATTCCACTGTGTCCCCAATCCCCCAAACTGCTAAACCTGTGAATGGCTGTCCCCTGCTTTTTCCTTTTTCTAAATTCTGAATCTGGAAGTCTTTAAAAAAAAATGGTGGAGAAACATACATCAAATCTACATTTAAAACCAGCCTAACTCTGCTTGAAGGAAAGTCACAACCACTTTTGAAATCCACTTGGCAGTTTTTTATCAAGTTAGACATATACTTAGCACCTAACCCAGAAATCCCATTTCCAGGAACTGACCCATGTGCTAGAGGCCTATGACTGCTCTTATAAATGATCAAAAATTTAATAACTTAAACCACTTGAGTACATTATATTACCATTCAAAAATCAGAAGTTCAGCACACTCAGCACTCACTGAGCTAAAAATCTTGGTGTCAAGGTTACATTCCTTTCTGGGTGAACAAAGGAAAACCTACTTTCTTGTTTTTTCTAGCTTCTAGAGAATGCCTGTACTCCCAATTTTGTATCTTCAAAACCAGCAAATAGTAAGTTAAGTCAAGTCCTTCTCAGGCTACCACCTCTCAGGTTCTTGACAATAG